TGCGCCGCTCCTTTCTTTTGAATTTGATACTGATTATATCCTCTGTTCAATGACACTTTTCTTCGGTTCATCTTGCGGATCACTGTGTTATCTGACTTCCACTCGACTCCTACTCTTCCTCTCCACCATCGCCACCATCCAATTCATCGAAGCTTCCCCCTTCAGACATTCTGATTCAACCAGCCAGACTGATTCATCCAACCATCAATCCTTTCAGCACAATTTAAAGTACGTCCACAGGCAGAAAATTCTTTTTCCCCTCCCAAACAGAAAAGCAGAAACTTCTTGCAGTCTTGCCCTCTGACTAACAATAACCCCCCTTTTTTTTGATTGTTAGCTCAATATCAAACATGGCTTCCATGAAAGGATACCTCAAACCAAGGTGTTCGAGAAGCTCTTTAAGCAATACAATCTCTCTGCAAGACTGTTATGGGTAAGTGATCCAGCCCTTGATTGTCATCAAAAAGCTGGACACAGGAGACTTATGGGCCTCAGTTTCTGTGTTAAACATATCCGATCTTGACTACCCTCAGTGCACTCTCTCAGCTCCCATTCAACGCATCTGACTCGCTCTCCTTATCTCGACCAGTCTCTCAATCAGCTAACACCTGTTCCGTAAGCAATCTCCTCTCATAGTTATTAATTATCAATCACGAAACAATAAAGATGCAATTTTTTTTGTCTCATACTCAGACTGTCTTGCTGATTCTTCGTCTGTTTCTTTAGCTCACCGTCTCCAAGGTGACTGAAAAAAATGCAGACCCTAGCGATCAAGCTTCGATCGTTAATGTGTGAGTGTCCCATTCTTTCCCTCTCTCTCGATCCAATTTGCAAGGAAGGAAGAATCGTTACAAGATATGCTTAACTCTAGAATGATTGTTTTTTCCCTCTTGAAATAATTAGATATGCGCCAACGCTTTTCGGTCCAGTGGGACAGATCTTAACATCCTGTTCAAATCAAGTTGAGTGACTTTAACTATAATAGCTTCTTATCAAACCAGTCGTTTATGCTCTTTGGTGGCGAGCTCAAAAAAACTGATTTGATTATCAACGCTCCAATTTGCTCCCTGATTTTGTTTTCAGGCTGGTACTTTATATCTCTGGGCCGGAGGTGCAAATGTTCAAATCAAAATAGACAATTCTGGTTCAACACACACCTAACCTGCATGCCTGTCTTTGCTTTCCCATTCGTCCTTTTCTCTCTTCATCTTATCATCTGTTGTGCCTTTTGTTTTTGTCTTTTCCGTCTCCTTCTTTTCCATTTCTTCTTGGTTTGTTGAAAAGAAGTACCGGCCGGTACTTCTTTTCAACAAATTACTTCAAGCAAAAAAATTAACCAAAAAAGAACAAGAAAAAAAAATCAAAAGGGAACTTTTGATCGAGTTATCTTTATGCCTATTTTGTTTCTTTCGTTCATTCTTTATATACGGTGTATGTTGCTTCGCTTTTCCCCCTTCGAATTCTGATGGGCTATTTTTCGTAATTTAGTAGTATGGATTAAGTAAATGCAGAGGAATACATAGAAATGAGAAAAAACTAAACAGAAGGCAACTCCACTAGCTTAATTTTTGTCATCGGTGATTCTATACTAACATTCCTTGAGGGAAAAAAATCACAGATAGAAAAAAGTTGTTTCGAGTTCCTCTTTCGTTGGAACTTAGAAGGTACCTTGATGCATAGGATTTATTTGTGTTGGAAGTGCAGGCTTCAACGCATGAAGAAACAACTGTACTGTCTCCATATTGTACACTCCAGCTGAATATCAACAAGAACCTAGGTTTGTCACTCAGTCAAATCAAGATCCACCTGACAAAGACCAACGTGTCTTAGGCTTGAAGGTTGACTGACTGCACTGCTACCAATAGCAAGAATATGTTAGCCCTTGCTGACAGAGTTGGAATTCCGATGATGGACATTATTGAATTGTTACATTAAATGATGAATTGCAAGGCGAGGTGTTATAGAGCATTTCAAGTGATTATCACATTGCTGTGAAAAAAGAGCTCCCCCCGTACCTCCGGGAGAGACCGCATCCATTCATTTCTTAGCCTTCAAAAAGTTCGACTTTCTAATGAAAGAATGAGTCGAGTGATCATCAGTCAACCATCAGAAAAGAATAGAGAAAAAAAAGAACAATTATGGGGTTTCGAATTTGTGTGTAACTGTTGTCAAGGGTTTGAATAATAATGTGAGTTTTAAGGGAACATACCTGATATTATTCCTGTTTTCTCGATTCAGTTCCCTTCGGATGGCACGTAATGGTGTATCTGCATGTCCAACACCCATGTTGGGTTCGAGTAGGGTCCACAGCCAGCTCGGATATTCATCATCAGCCTTTGCGATCGGATCACTTTCTCCTTTAATGTATGCTAGACCTTTAATAGGCGAGCCTGCTGGAATCGTCGAAACCGGTACTGTTTCTAAACACAAATTCCGGTCAAGTTTCATGTCAGCTTTGTCACCTCAGACTACTTCTTTCTACCCAAATACGAGAGAAACGTGTGGTGTCGGGTACTGACTTTTTGCCTGTGATGTTTTCTTTTCTTGCGTAGGCTGAGAAGCCAGGTGACGAACCCTCAAAATGGAAGCGGCCCTCGAGCAAATTTGATTCGATTCCGAATGGCTTGATAGTCGTAGTAGGCCCGTTCTGATTAAGGAAGACATCTTCGAGGTTTTGAGATGCGAGAAGTTTTCAAGACGAGCTCGACCTCACCGAAAGTAACCCAGGTCACGTGATACCTCCATCCACAAGTTTCACAGCAGATGGGACATTCTCGTGACATCTTGGACACCACGCTGTAAACATCCTGGTCTGCAAACTAGCTCACGTGGATCGGTGGTGCATCAACTCTTCTCGGGATGATAAGAACATCTGGTACTCGTCTTCAAGCCAACCCAAGATTACTTCCACCTCTCAGTCTACACGGGTCTCATCATCCGAATTTTGAACGTTCATTACGAAGACAGCACACCAATTCCAATGCTGTCGATGACTGGTGTATCCCAATCCAACTCAAACCACCAGCTCCACAAAGAAGTCCAGCAAGCCTATCAGATGAGGCGTTGATTCGTCTCCACCGGTTATCTGCCCTAGAGCCACCAGAAGAACGCTCCTCCGAGTTCGAAAAAGTCAAGAATAGTTTACAAGCGATGTTGGCCATGGTGGATTCGGTCAAAGATTTCGAACCAACAGCCGAAGATTTGGAAACAAAAAATGGTTATGAAATTCCTGATGGAAGGATTTGGCCGACCGATGAATCGCTACCTATCGACTGGGAAGCACTCGTCCAAAAACAAGAAGATTTCATCAGATCTAGACAAATCAACATTCCAGGTTCGACCAAACCGAACGTTGGATCAGGTCACTCGAGCGAAACCGGTTCTTCCAAGGCGGACTCGACTGGAGAAGGTGTGACCTTGGAGATGGCGACTGAGGACATTCACACAGTCCGTCGACGAGGACTTGGACAACAACCACAAAATGAGAACATCTTCTATGTCGCCAAACTCCCCGGTTCAAAACGAAGCAAATCAAAAAATTAGTTCACTCACCGCATAAATTAATAATTGCTTATCCAGTCGACTTTTCCCCCTGTCGATTTAATCTGAAGAGTGGAAAATTGAGCAATCATGTGTATTAAATTGAAGATCGGGTAGCTGGATGACTAACTCACAAAACTGAATTGTATTTTACTAATCTGATCTCAGCATATCTGTTCCCACTTCTGACCACATTGCTATGATGCAGCTGAATCTTGTATTTGCAAGGCATAGAAGTAGCCATGAGTAGCACATCATAGCTCAAACGATGCAAGTTGTATATCTACATATCTGGATCAATTATTTTAATACATTAAATGTTCCTCGTCCAAACAATGGTCCCTAGACACATTGGACCCAGTTATCAATAATGGGCTGCTACACTGCCAAAGGGGTTGCGTTAAGTTACAACCCCCCTGTGGTAAGGTCATCCGGAGGTGATGGATATAAAATTGTGTTTGGAAACCTGCTATATAGTGCTATGCTAAATTTTTCTGCTCAAAAGAATTTAGTGTAGCAGTTTTTTTTTGCGTGTGGAAATCATGTAGTGTTAGCAAAAAGTTAGCAGTTTTTTTGCTATGCTACCCCACACTATGGGCCACTAACACCTGATATAGGGTTAAAATGCTGCTGACCAGAGGGTCAGTGCAGCATAATTACCAGGTACTTTTTAGGGGCCTGCATGTGTAGTGTTAGTGCAAACATGGCATATGCTACGCTAAATTTTAGTGGAATTCCTCTACATTACACCACACTAACACTACTGTTAGCAAGAACTGGCCCACTGTTGCTGTTATCTTTATCTGAGAAAATGAGAGCCTAGGCTTGATAATCAGCACCAAATGTGAGATTTTCAAAGCATTCATTATATATCAATGCAGATAGCATATTTTTTGGAGCATGTAACACATGAGAATTGTAAAGAAAATCTGAGCTTCACTTCAAGTCCTTTTTCTGGCCTTTTCTTTTTTATTTGGTTAGGGAGTTGGTACAAAGCTACCTTGAAAATATTTTAAAACAAGTTGATGAGCTCTAACAATTGACAGTGCACCGTGAGTGAAGTTTAATGCCCTGGGGACTTGAAATAAAAACTTTGCTAAAAAAATACAATGTGAACCATCCTAATAACCTGTTTTAACAATTTTCTAGTCTATAGTAAAGTGTTGGAGCATTTTCAGTAATGGTCAAGTCCAAGCTTAATTGAGGCTTTCTGCTATGGGGGTGCCCAATGTAATGATGCATCAGCTAAATTACATTCAGGAAAATTTACTGTAGTTTAGTGTTTTGCACTGCTAAACTACAGATACAACGTAGCTCTATCTGAGGTACAGCTACAGCTACACAAAATTCAAAGAAGAAGGTGTAGTTTTAGATTCAGAAGGCCCTAATAATCTGTAGCTGGCCCCTAATTAGCTGTAATTCAGTGCGGTTTAGCATTGGCAGGGTTTGGCAGTTTTACTCTATAGATACAGTTAATGCCCTGGAAAGTTAGCAGTCACAGCTATGCCAGTGTTTTAGCATACTAATGTAATTAATAACAGGGTTCATGATTGAAATTTTGTGATTTTTGGACCCAATTTTAAGGCCTCTATCAACCACATTTTAAACATTTCATGAGTTGGATGGATTTGGGGGCTTCTGAAAAATCCACACAAATGTATAATTTTTTTAAAAACTATCAATAAACATCTTAATATTGCACCTGTACTAATCACAACATGTGGGATTCCATCTGACGGAGAGGCTTACATGAAAATTTGGACTTTCAGCCTGGGGCAATATTAGTCAGGTTTGAAAGGTCAATATAATGTTTTGTTTTAGCTGAGTGAGGAAACACCAATTCCAAATCATTGGTACCTATTCTGCAAACTTTTGGGTATTGGCACATTGTTCTTTGACAGTACATAAAACCCTCTGCACAACTATATAATCTTGACACAGAACTAGCATTGAGACCAATTCAACAGTAGTCAGAAAGGGGAGGGGGTTATATTTAGATTTTGAAAAAACTGACAACTTTTTGACAGTAGAGTCAGACAATTGACAGTTTCCTGTGGGGATTTGGTCTGTATGTTTTTTTCATCATTGAGTAATTTGTTGAAGCCTTGCTCCAGAGATCATGGGCAGTTTTCCAAGTTTCCTGTTTGAATGTATAAAAATGAAACCATAAATCACTTTTGTGATTGTGTAAGATACTCCCAGCCAATTGTTGTTCATATATTTATTCATCATCTTTGAAAACCACTTTGACAATGTCAATTTTGTTTGTAAATCAAACATTACATAAAATTTGGCTGAGTGTGGAATGTCCAAGTACAAATAATCTGTGTGTGGTCTGCTAAACTTTGGGAGTATGCACATTCTGCCTTGGCCATTACATAAACGTCTTTGCACAACTGTATCTTATCTTTGACACAACATTAAAAGGAGGTATAAAATATAAGAAATCCACTATTAGAAGCCAGTCAATTATCCAAAAAAAAAGAAAAAATCACCAATGCGTTTCCAAAGAGCGGAGATGATAAACTAATCACATGTTTGAAAATGGCGGGTTTTTCAAAACCATTCATTTAAATAATGGTGTATTTGCGTATATTTGATACCCCCTGATACACACCCCTATTCAACATTACATTGAGCCAAGTAACAGTTTTGTATTGTTATTTTGGCCTGGATGTATTTTAGATAGTCAGAAATTTTCCAAAGCCTTGCTTTCAATATCACTGTACAGTAACTTTAACATTGCACAAAATGTAGCTCAGTGACATTGACACCTAGTCTGACAAGCTTTTTTGAAATTGCTGCATTCAATGACTAATAAATACCTGAAGTTTGTCAGAAAAGGGAGCTATCACATTGAGCTCTGACCAATACATACAAATCTCTGTGCACAAGAATATAATTTTGCCACAAAAGCATCATTGGCAGCTATTTGAAAGCATATTCAGCCAAGCAGTAATTTTATCACACAAGTTTCAATCCTATGTTTTGTATTGTTATTTTGGTCTGGATGTATTTTAAATAGTCAGAAATTTTCCAAAGCCTTGCTTTCAATATCACTGTACAGTAACTTTAACATTGCACAAAATGTAGCTCAGTGACATTGACACCTAGTCTGACAAGCTTTTTTGAAATTGCTGCATTCAATGACTAATAAATACCTGAAGTTTGTCAGAAAAGGGAGCTATCACATTGAGCTCTGACCAATACATACAAATCTCTGTGCACAAGAATATAATTTTGCCACAAAAGCATCATTGGCAGCTATTTGAAAGCATATTCAGCCAAGCAGTAATTTTATCACACAAGTTTCAATCCTATTTTTTTCAAGTAGGAGCTGAAAGAAGTCCCGTTGAATATAAATAGGCATCAAAGATTTTGGTTGTTGATCACAATCTCCACTCAATTTTTCAGGCAAATATCTGTGGTAGAAATTCTTGCCATGTTTCTCAATCTGATAGTTTTCCTTGTGAAGCATTTTCCTTAATTTTTTCTGTTTCTATCAGGGGATGACTTCCCATAATAATTTCAGAAGCCTGCAGAGTTGGTTTAGTGTCTTTAGGGCTAGATTTCATTGCAAAAAACTTGGACCTTTTGGGTCTAAACCAACATCTGCAAGGGCTTCAGATTGAAAGATGGGAGGTCATCCTTTTTTACAAGTGAGCATCACTGAACTAATATATAGTGCTTTTATGTTGTTGACAGATTTTTCAAGAAGTGTGTCAATTGACCGCTAAAACAACTGCTGATATTCTAGGTGAAGTAGATAAATTAAGCAAGCCATCAAATCCAAACACAATATGTGGTGCTACTTCAGCAATTTCTCCAAGTACTACAAGGAAAACTACAGGTCTTTTTCCTGAACCTAAAACTTTACATCGTCACTCAAAACGTGGGGTTAGTGATTCTTCTACTTACCTACTTTCCTGTATACAAGCTCACAGTTTTTACCTTTTTGATTCATCAATCTTGTTAGGCTAATGACTACTGTGGTATATGCAACAAAAAGCTTTCCTTGGGGTTATTTGGACGTGACAAACTTTCAAAAGCTTGGCCATGCAAAGACAAATTTCACCAAATATGTGCGGATGTTCACATTTCCAGAGTAGATAGCTTCTGTCCAAAATGCAACACCCCAACTAGAGGGTTTGATGAGTACAACTCTAAGTATTCTTCTGAAAAGAAAGATTCTGAAGGTTCTGGAAACCGGGAAAAATCCAGCAGCTCTTCTTCAACCCAGAAACCACCCATGCATGGCCCACAAAATGGGTATGGTGGACAACCTGGTGATGTATACAGCCAAAAACCTGGGTATGGATATGGTGGACCACCTGGGAATGGATATGGCGGACCACCTGGGTATGGATATGGCGGACCACCTGGGTATGGATATGGCGGACCACCTGGGTATGGATATGGCGGACCACCTGGGTATGGATATGGCGGACCACCTGGGTATGGATATGGCGGACCACCTGGGTATGGATATGGCGGACCAACCGGGAATGGGTACAGTGGACCACCTGGGCATTGTTAGGGTGGTCCACCCCCTATGTAGTGCACACCTGAATTTGTACCATCTGGAGGTGAATCTTACTCGGGCAATACATCTTTGGATCTCAACATTAATAATCCAGCATGTTCAGCTATCCAACCTATACAGGCAGAACCACACCCTCAGGAGATATAGTCAATTGGTATTCTTTGTATGATGATATTCTGATAAAAGTTCAACAAGATGATTTATTATTTCTTCCAAATTTCATTGTCTTAATGAAACATCTAGTTTGATTTGACTCATCTTGAATCTCAATCTATCTGAATTTCTACTTCCCACTTCCAAATTTCTACTTCCCACTTCCAAATTTCTACTTCCCACTTCCAAACCTAAGATCACTACTCTTTAAATCCTTTTCTTACAAATTTCTCTTTCTTCTAGTTCTTTTTGATCTCTTTTCCTCTGTTCATTTCTATTTCATCATTTTCTTATTGATTTGGTTTTGAAAGTCAATGCTATTATCCTCTCTGATTTTCTGGTATCACCTGTCTTTCAATTTATCCCCTATATTTTTTTTTTGCTAAAAAGACACAAAAATCACAAAAAAATCACACAAAAACACACACAAAAAACACAAAAAAAACACAGAAAAACACAAAAGAAGACAAAAAACCTTTTCTTTCTTTGAATCATCCTTTTCCTTTTCCATCTCCTTTATTTTTTAAAATCATTCTCTTGTTTGGAATAAAATTTTGTTTGAGATTGAATTCATAGATCAACACCACCATGAAGTGCATCAATATTGGTTGGTTAGAATTATATGCCAGTTTAACTTAATTGGTTTAATGCAAGCTAGGTAACAGGATTTGCTTAATGCACAGACGTGTCTCAGTCAACGGTGGGCCTCTACGCTATGCTACACTTTTTTCCCAAAAAGTGTTAGCGTAGCGGTAATTTTTGTGCGCCAAAATCATGTAGTGTTAGCAAAATGTTAGTGGTCTTTTGCTGCGCCATGGGCCTCTAACGGCCTCTACAGGGCCAAAATGCCGCTAAACAGTGTGTTAGTGCAGCGTAGCAGATAATTTTTAGGGGCCTGCAGTTGTAGTGTTAGTGTGGAAACAGCGGAATTCTGCTACACTATGCTAAATTTGAGTGGAATTCCGCTGTGTTACAATACGCTAACCGCTACGGTTAGCATAGCCTCCCACTGTTGTCTCAGTTAAACTGTGGATTGAGTGAAGGAGATGTTATTCTTGAAATTAACACAAGTCTCCCTGGTGGGAGGCTTTCTGGTGGAACTGGCTGTGCACAAGTAGCACTGAAACAAAAAAAATACATGTATCTGTATCAGTTTTTCTCCCAATAAATTTTATCTGTATTGTATTGGGAAAATTGAAAAACCAATACTAGGGGGTATCAAATATAGGAAATCCACCATCAGAAACCAGTCATTTTTCCAAAAACTTTTTTTTGTATAAATGGGCCCTAAAAGGGTTTAAATGGATAACCAACATGTTTATAAAAAGGTGGATTTTTGCAAACCAGTCAATTAAATAATGGTGGATTTGATTATATTTGATACCCCCTACTATGAAAAAATATTGTATCTGGTCACCAATACAGTCCAATACAGAAACAATACAATGCTGTATTTTTTGTATTGCCCAGTTGGGTTGTACTTGAATACAGTACAAATTGGCCAACAAATGTGTAGTATTTTTTTTTTAATAAAATACCTTTGTATTGTATCTGATTTTAGATACAATACCCAATACAGTCTTTTTGAGTATCTGAAGAAAAGATACAATACACTGTATTGCCAAATACATGAATTGTATTGTAAGGAAGGAATTGCATACTAAAAGAACTTTCCTGCATTAGCAGGATGCACACTCTTGGTGCTTCCTTTCTCTGATTTTTTCATTTTTCCTTGTAATGGATCAAAGATCTATGACTCTGTTTGGCAGTGATATATTGCAACTTCTTGGGACATCTGATGAGTTTTTTGTGGACCTCATTGGATGTTACACAGGATTTTGTGCAAAAACAGCAATATATCAATCAAATTATATTGCCTCCAAACTGGGCCTACATTTTCCTAATTTTTGCACGTTTTTTATTGTAAAATGTGCTTGGATTCTGGTAGAAAAGTGCCAATGAAGTTACTTTTATTTGAAAATTTGGCTGAGGCACTTGATCAAACCCTCACTATAAGCATATTCTATGCCTGAAAAATGATAGTTTTCCTTTTTTCATATTTTTGTAAGAAAATATTGGTATGGCAATATAAATAAGAAAATACAGAAATATTAACCAGATCATAGATGGCATTGGAGAAAAAAAACATCACAATTAGATTTTGAATAGAAAAGCGAGGGAGCCAGAGATGAAAGTACAAAAAGGGCTTCAGAATCTGGAACTTCTCAGGCCAAGTTTTATTTTTAATGGGTAAGCCTCTCTGGTGAGACTGGGCTTCTACTCAGACCTGCCCACATGGCACTCTCGCCATGAGAGGCTTTATTTATAAGTTGGTGTTCTGGTGGTAATACCATGTATCAAGCCCATTTTATATGGGAGGTGTTTAATTTCACAACTACTGTAGAAAATACCTGTAGGAGTACATATATTGTGGTCATAAAATTATTTCTGGGGTGTTCATAATCAAATTCTTTTTATTTTTATTTTTTTCAAATTATGAACCTTTTTGTGTTGTTTTTATCTTTTCATATTGGTTATTTGAAACCTATTACACACCACTTGAATTCCAATTTGTGCTTTGAAGCTCTGGGATCCAACACAAGCAGTCAAAAACAATGTTCCACCCACTGTACACCTGGATGCAGTACAAGAAGCAACAAAATATTTGGGGATATTGTGTGAAACTCCCCTTTCTTTGTGGATTTCACAAGGTTTCACAGGTCAGATTAAATCAGCTGGGATTCAGACTTAGTCTGTCTTCTGCCCCTTTACCTAGCTGGCAGAGTTCTTCATCTCTACCACCTAGTTAAGTTATTGTATGTTCTGTATTCTCATTTCTCTCCTTTCTGATTTTTGCAGATACTAATAGAGAGTTCTTCATCTATCCCATTGTAAGACTCAAAAGTGGTTGTGAAACCCTTTTGCTGAATTGAGAAGGGGATGATGGAGGTGCAAACTCTGCCCTTCTATACTATCAGAAACAAGACCCACCAAGCTTAGCTTGGAAAGTTTTAATAATGTGATAGGGTTGGTCGGTTCCGGTAAAACTTGGTTTTGATGAAATAATAAAGGATAAAGTTATAATTGCTTATAAAAGAAACTGTTATATTGTGTAACAGGTGAATTGGTTATATAATTTGTCAGCTCTGTGTATGCTACACTGGTTTAAATGATATAAAAACCAGGTGCTATCACTGTGCTGAAGGACTATCAAAGAAAAAGATTACTCTTTTTCACCCTTTATATGTGGTCCAAATTCCACAAAGGTTAAGTCCACACTCCTTTAAGCTTCTTTGTTTCTAATGAACCAAATAACAGGAGATTATAACAATTAATAAATTTTTATAGTTTGGATTTTAAAGCAATAATAATTGCTAAGAAGCCGCTGGCAAGCACTTGAGCTGATTGGCTACTTGTCAGAGGTGGTAGTCTTGCAGCAACTGCTTTATAAGGAATTTTAGTGAGGGATGAAAGGGGAATTTCAAAGTTACACACTAATAATTCCAGTAGTAAAAGGTTGATTGGGTTTGGGATAACTACTCTAAAAGTAGGAGGAGAATATTCAATGTACAGTGCCCAAAGGCACCTCTCAACTACCCGCGCCTGCAAAAAAAAAAAGTTCGCGCGGGCTCCCATAACATTCATGCATGTGCGTTTCAACCTTCGAAAGTGTGTTTTTTGAGCTCTACAGACTTAGGGCTTTCGGAAAATATGACCCACAAGTCTGCCCGACCATTTTATTTATTGATTTTTTTTAAAACAAACAATTTGGAACCTCTCTTTAGTATATACATATGCATATAGAAATTATGCATTTAGAACGCATAGTATGTACTTAAAACACATACTATGGATTTAAAACGCATAATATGCTTTTAAATCTGTGTCTATGCACTTATGCACAGGCTGTCCCTCAAGTCCTGACACCAGCCGAGACCCCAGGCTGGAGCAAACCGGTCTGGTGAAGCTAAGCCAATCGGCTTAAGTATGTCTAATGAAGAGACATTATAATATGAAGAAACATAGCAGGTCGGTCTCGGTCAGAGGGAAAGGATAAGAGAAACAAGTTCATGTGTATTGTTTATACATAGCAAGTTTTCGTCTGATCGTTGAATATTATTTCTTCATCTTGGTATTCCAATTGGCAGTATTTCTTCGTTCTCCTTTTCCTTCTCAGTCTTTTCCAATTCCCTTCGCTTCTTCTGAGATCTTACACGTCGAGATTGAGGTGCCATGGAAGTATAAATTAACAGAAAATGGATGTAAATAGGTGGAATCACTCGGATGGGTGATCTTTGAGTGACCTCAACCTCACAACAAGCTGCGGGGTGGCCAGTGTGGACACTCCAATTAAGGATTATGCTATTTTTCAGTGGGTCAAAATCCGGGTTTTTTTTTTTGGGGGCCAACATTTGGAACCTCCCCCAAACCAGTAGTTGAGAGGTGCCTTTGGGCACTGTACTTACTAAGTATGCTGTGGGTGAATATGCTGAGGAACCAATATTTGGCCAGGAATGGCCTCCTTTTATATTCTAGAGTCCCCCTTGGGGACATTCTTAGAATATTCTAGAATGTTTATTTAATGTACAGTGGGTGGACCATTATTTTTGGCTGCTTGTTTTGGATCCCAGAGCTTCAAATCACCAGATTGAAGTCATGAGACTTGGTCAAGTGGTGCAGAATAGGTTGCAAAAAATGAATATGAAAAAATAAAAACAAAAAACAAAGTTTCAAATTTTGTGAAAAATAAAAAATAAAATTGATTTTTTTCAAAAGCTTTGATATTCATTTTGGGGAAGTGTGAGTGCAGAGAGAAAGAAAGAATGGGAAATGGGAAGAGTGATTATAAATGAAAATTTGGAAAAAGTGGTTACCATATAGTTTTAACCAGTTGTTGAGTGGGGCATTCACCAGCTCACATTGCAGTAAAGCACTAGAATTTACTGTTTTGACTCCAATCTGGACAACCAACCTGGCTCAACCTTTTTTGGTTC